CCCTTTACTTGAGTAATTCCAACGGCATGTGAAGTGAAGTGTGTTAGTTTGAACATCCAATTAAACGATGTGTGAAACTTATTTTTAATTTATCTAAAATTTTGTTTCTTTATTTGACAAAAATCTTAGCTAGAAGTGGGTTTTTCCCCTTTTTTTCTTTTTTTTCTTTTTAAGAAAAAAGTAATTAAGAAGCAAACTTTGAGATGTTTACCCTTTTTTTTTCTCTCTTTAGTCAATTTTAGTTTTAAAAGTTTCATTAAATTAAACTCTAAAATTTGATCAAGTGTGAAACTTACAATCTTATTCATAACAAATTTGAAAATAGCGAATAAGACACATCATTATCATCTTAAAATGTTGATAGTTATTCAATCCTGACYTTATAATATGCTGACAGATAAATAAAGTTCAATTGTTCTATACATTACTCATAGACTTAAAGATCGGTTTGAATCTGTTACCCCTTTGTTTATCTTAAAAAAAAAAAAAACCATAACCACAGCCTCATAACATCAAATTAGTGAAAAAAAAGTTAGCCTATAATGCTAAAATGAATAGCATTTAAATTTATCCTACTTATCACCATTAAAAAATTTAATGATCTTTTTTTTAAAAAAATAAAAAATCTATTTTCCCTCACTTTCTTTATACATTAATTTCTCTTACCTGTCAATTTTTAACAGGGGCGGTGAGTAAAAACATATACTTACCTGTCATGAAGTGCCTAAACATTATACCATTAAAATGCCTATAAAACGCCCCATAGAATAAAAATAACACCTTGCAAAAATATTACACATGGAAATAAATTGAAATAAGTTAAAAACAATTATTTTGGTGATTTCTTAAATCTTTAGGTAGCTAGAGTGGAAGGATAACAATTGTTACTCGGTTTTGTTGTTGTGTATTTGAGAGAAAAATTGAATATTGTTTTAAAGGATAAGAGAAAAAGAAAAAGAAAAAGAAGAAGATGCACAGTTGGGAAATGGCAGTATGCGTAGGTATTCCCCCAATTACTTTTAAAAGAAGTGTCCACAGCCATGAATTTGGCTGCCCCCCACACCCTCTCTCTCCCTTTCCCCTTTATAAACCCATTTCCCCACTCCCCTCCTTCTTCATGTGAGTTCCACATTACTCTCTCTCCCCCTCTCCGCCGTCCGATCATGATGCCGCCGGAGGAGCAACATCAGCCGTCCACCACCACTCCTCCCAATCCAACCACACAT